TATATATATATATATATATATATATATATATACATATATATATATACATACACGTTCTGTTCGAGTACTAGTAATTACAGCCTTTTGAATATAGGTATATATGTATATACCGACAAAATGAATGATTTAGCTGCGGACAAATCACATATGTATTTACAATTTTGTTAACAATTCGAAATATACACTAGAAATTGTAAAATAGACAAAAAACCTCTAATTGGCATATATATATAATTTTTTTTTTATAAATAGAACTTTACAAATATCAATGTCTGTTTGAAATAATGAATATCAGCATTTTTGGATCCTGACGATAATTGTCCAGAAGTCTGCGATTCGTTGTAATGCAAATTTTCGGTGATTCAGTATCGTTGACCAATTGTGATACTAGATGAACAAGTCCGTGTAGGTATACGTGTACGTATAAGTGCACATGTATGTGTACGTGTGCACAGTATAATTATCTATTGCTATATACATAGGATGGGATAGGTTTCTATATTCTAAGTGTAAAAACTAGGCTTATTCCTTATTGCACTTACAGCACTACAACCACTTTGGAGGCGGACACCTGTTGGTCAGTTACATCGGGAATATTCGCGGCGGTGCGACGGCCCGCCGCCACGGCATTGGCACGATCGGGGCTGGAGTTTGTGCCGGTGGTATTGCTAGTGGTGGTCACTGGCGTCTCCTTGTTGTGGACACGCAAATGGCTATTAAGGCGCTTTTTGGTTGGGAATGCCTTCATGCATTTGTCGCACTTGAACGGCTTCTCACCGGAGTGTAAGCGCACGTGGGCATTCAGGTTACTGGTGAAGGTAAAGGCGCGTCCGCAGATTGGACATTTGTGCGGCTTTTCGCCGGAATGCACCAGCATGTGCTTTTTATAGCCGGACTTCTGGGACAGTCCAACACCGCAGATTTCGCAGGTGAACGCCTTCTCGCCCGTATGGCTGACCTTGTGCTGCCGCAGGGACGACGAATCATAGTACGCCTTATCGCACAAGTCACACGCATAGGGACGCTCGCCGGTGTGCGTCAGCTTGTGCCGGCGCAGGTGATCGAAGGCCGCATAGCTGCGTCCGCACTGATCGCACTTATATGGCTTGTCCTCGGCGTGCGTGCGCATGTGAGCCGCCAGGCTGGATGTGGTGCGATAGAAGCGAGCACAGACCAAACATTGATGCGGTTTGGCATTGGTATGGGTCAGCATGTGCTCCTTGTGATTGCGCAAGTGCTTCAGCTTCTTGCCGCACATCTCGCACGTGTAGAGCTTCTCATCCACATGGGAGCGCATATGTTGATTGAGGCGGCATTGCTGGCGGAATGCTTTGTTGCACACATGACAAACGTGAGGTAGTACCTCGACTGGCGGTCCAGTAACAACCGGAATGGAGAGCCGAGAATCGGAGTCTTCCATAAATTCTTCTCCCTCCTCGCTATCAGCAGCTATCTAGAAGTTATCAATATAGTTACATTTAAAATAAATAGTATGAGTGTTTGATTACCAAATGCTCCTCACGCTCGATATCCAGAATATCCTCAGCTTCGACTTCGCCAATTACCTCATCGATGGGCTCCTCGCCTGTGATCATGACCATTTGGTCGTCTAGCATTTGGATTTGCATTTGCTCGCTGACCGTTTCCATGGGCGGGGAGTCTATAATTTCGATGTCATCTTCGTCCTCCACCTGCGAGTCGTATTCGGTTTTAATTGTCACATATTCTATGTCAGCCGCATGGAACTCATTGATTGGCTCGATAGCATCTTCCGTCTCTGTTTGGGCACCAACCTCTTCTTCGGCATCTACGCAAACGTCATCGACGACAAATTCCTCATGTTCCGGCTCCTGCTCACTGTACGTTTCGACAAGCGCTGCAACTTCGTGCAAACTGGAGTCCTGTTTGCCTACATCCGGTACAGTATCCTCGTTCAGCACTTCAATCATCACATACTCCTGGTTGCTACCGCTGGTATTGGCATTGTTGTCCACCTCCTCGAGACCCAGGCGCAACAGCTCATCGGAGTCAATAACCATGCGCTTGAAGTTGAACGCCTGCTCCAGCAGCTGCAGGCAATGCATGCAAATGTGTTGGGGCATTGCAGCTCCATCTTGCGGCTCGAATGACAGGCTGGAGCAGAATTGCAGCATATTAGCCAGTGTAGTGCTGCCCTCCGGTCCAATTTCAATCTCATCTTGCAGCGATTTGTATTGTTTACATGCACGCGTGCATGTGCGACAATTGAGAACCACGCCTGGCTTGGTGCCGTTCATCATTTTCGCTTGGCACCGCACAAGTTTAGTTCGCTTTAAAAACTAATCTCGACTGGTGTTGTCACCGTTTACAAATGCAATGTAAAGCGCCGATTTTAATGCGCAACTTCTTTTCTATTTGCCATTCGCGTGTTCTATTCGCTCGACTTTAATAAAAACATACAAATTGTATTGGTATATGCAGTCAGTCACACAGTATCGTTTGATTCAAAATGGCGTCCGCAGTAGACGATTGTCGCAAGCGTAAGCAAAGAAGAAGAAAAAGACCATGACAAACAGTGCTGGTAAACAGCGCAAAGCATTTATAAATAGCTTGCTCAAATTTGTACCATGTACTTGGCAATTGGTATTTATTGATATTTACAAGTCAAAAGAATAATTATTGTGATGTACAAAGCTGGTTATGGGCACACTCTTTACTTCTGGCAATGAATGTTTAGTAATTTGCGTTTCAGCTTTTTTTTTAGAAACTGAAATGGAACGCTGCGCCCGTCTGCAAGTAGAAGCAAACCGATTCGCAATTGAAAATTTCGTTATTTTTATTCAAAGTGAATGGCGCTTTAAACTTACCGAAATTGCGCAAGTTTTCTTTTTTTAATTTTCACTTGTTGACTTATCTTACGCACACGAAACTTAAGCTCTCTTAGCATTCGTCGAAGCCGATGCTGTTCCAAATATTGCTTCTGACACACACCACGGGCCAGTAATAGGTCCTTATCCAACTTCTGCTCTTCCTTTTCCTGCATCATTATTATAATCAAATCAATCAATATTGCCCAAAGCAATTATGAATATTATGCTTTCCCACCTTTTTTAATATGAATTTTTCCAAATTCCTAAAGTTTGCTCTCTGGAACGAGTCGATGAGATCGTGCTGCAGGCCGTCGTGCCATGGTGCTGGGTGGAACATGCCCTTGAGATTTGATGGCAACGCATTGTTTACCTGGCGGCCACGCACCATCTTTTGGCAAATCGGGCACACATAGGTGGGTGCATCACCGGGAATACGACCCAAGCTGGCCGTAACGCATTTCTCACATATAACGTGTTGACATGCTAGCAAGAATATTACAGCTTTTTCATTAACATAATGCTCAAAACAAGAATTGCAGTGAATCCATATTTTTTTCGCCTTGGTCGCATCAATGTTGACTGTGGATTTCGCGGAATTCTCTGCTATCATATCTTCAATTTTAATAATACATTTGTACTTTCATCAAACGATTAAAACTGCACCTCTTTAGTAACGGGTCTTTGTATTTGCCACTCACATTTCAGCGTTGACTTGGAATGGTAAAAATCAGCTGTGCGGAGGACCATAACATAGCAACAGTAACTTCACTTACGCTTGGTATGCAGCTTAACGTTTTCAATTGCGATTTCATTTTGCAGTCAAGCATAAACTTCTATGTAAACATATGTATATTTGAAACCATAAATATTTGATAGAAAAGAAAACAATCAATCTTTCACTGACGCAGTCTAAAATGAGCTGTCGCTTAAGCTGAGCTTTGTATATAGAAGTCACTTTCGGCGTCCAGTTTCGAGTGATCAGCCTACTAAGCATTCGTGGTTAAATTTGATACGCAAGCACACGCACACTCACACACAACACACTCATAAGTAGACAGAATGTTTGGCTTTGTAAAGTGCCTTTCAAAATACCGCCTTGCGTTCTTTCTAATAATTATAGCCGTTCTTGGGAAAGTTTACCAGAAAGATATAGTGCAGCTCTTGCAAATAGGGGCTGCGCGATATTTACATAGCGCCACCAACGAGCGAACGGAAAGTGTTCCTGTTAAGTTCTCGGAGACACACGACAATATCTTCACGGCGGAGCAGCTGTCCACATTCAACGGGGAGAATGGAGCACCCATCTATTTGTCACTGCTCGGTGCTGTGTTTGATGTCAGTCGCGGCATAAAGCATTATGGACCTGGCTGCAGTTACAACTTCTTTGTTGGCCGGGATGCATCCGTCTCTTTTGTGAGCGGTGAGTTCGAGCACTACGATCCGGCAACGGCGGATGATGTGCTCAGCTTGAAGGGCAACGACTTGATTGAGCTAGCCAAGTGGCAGCAATTCTACGAGAAGGAGTACACCTATAAGGGCAAGCTAATTGGGCGCTTCTATGACGAAACGGGTCAGCCGACGGTCTACCATAAAAAATTTCTGGTACTGCTGGACGAGGCAAAGATAGCCAAGGCGCAAGTTGACGAGCTGCGTAATCGATATCCAGGCTGCAATATCGAGTGGTCCGAGGCGAAGGGCACTCGCGTCTGGTGCACCACAACGAGCGGCGATGGCAAGGAGCGCGAGTGGTCTGGGTATCCCCGCAAGCTATATAACCGGGACAACAAGAACTTCCACTGCGCTTGCGTACCCGAGGCGGAACTAAGCGATCCCATGTTCAAGCCCTACGACAATTGTGAAGATCGGTCGACTGAATGTTTCTATCGGGTCTAAAATGAAATACAGTAACTCATATGCTAAAGAAGCTATTACAAGTTTGATGTAAATTGATTCCAATTGTCAGTCGTCATAAATATGTGTACATATGCATATCACTGTAGTGGGAGCGAGGCTGGGTTTTTATTCTATTTGGAAACCGAGTCGAAATCTGTAATAATCATATAGCCTTTTGTATATACGTAATAAATACACACTTTTTGTATAAACAGTTTCTCATTCATTTAGAATAGATCTTTATCATTTGCTTTTGTTACTGTATAGAAATCTAATGCCAATTCGCTAAAAAAAATTGAAATTGTGTTTGATCTTTGAGCTTGTAAATTCAGTGTTTATGTGAATCTATATATCTATATACAAAAGAAAAAATCCATTCGAATTTTGCACTAGTATTACAAAGAGGAAAGAAAATATTTAGATTTGTGCATTTTTTTTTGTGATATGGCAGCTTGGGCGTAAAATTTCCGTTTCGATTGGAACAATCGACAATCAACGCAACACGTAAAAAAAACCAACAAAAACAAAAACAAAAAATTTCTTGAAAAATCTAACGATAGTTCAACTTTCGACATTCTCATGAGGATTTTCAAATAAAATACAAAATTTTACGTGAAATTAGAAGAACAAACCAATTTTCGGGAATTTTGTCCGTCATTGAACAGCTGCCAGTGGAGTGCACGCAGTGTGACCGTTCACTGGTCCGATCAAAGTCGTTCTACTGCAAATAAATTGCGCGTTTGCTTGCAGAGCTTATGATATAATGTCGCGTACGTTGAGCCAATTATTTGGACGATGCCTTTTGGGCCAGTCCTACGTGAAGCCCATGCAGGCGAATAGTATGTTGAGAAATCTGCTTAGTCCGCAGCCAATGCAATCGGCGTGCGGTGGACGCATTGCATCCTATTCGAAACGAAACGGTCCACCACCGGATGCAGGCGAACCCTTCAAAACCGTGTCCAAATCACGCGGCGTTGACGATGGTAAGTGGACGTGATGAATAGTGTGTGTCTAGCAATTGAGATTTGCATTAAATTCATTCGACAGACGATCTCAACAGTCTGGAGGAGGAACCCAATTGGGAACTGACTTCGCAACGCCACAATCGCTTCTATTTACCAAATGCCACAGGTCCCGCCTGGCAGGGCGATACATCTACAGTTGGCCTATTGGAGCCGCTGGCAAATCTAGTCAATTTCTTCAAGGACGTGAACGTAGACAAGTCACGCTTAGAATTCTCATGCTGCCAGTGTCCGGTGTTGATACGTGATTCAATTTTCGAGCTCTTCCCAGTGCGTGCCATCGGCCAAAAAGACTATGCCATTACACTTCTAACATTGAGCTACGAAGGCGACATTGAAAAAGGTGCAGCAAAGGTGAGCATCTGTCGCAGCCACAGCCATTGTCCATAATAATAATAATGGTCTTCTTACAGTTTGTGCTCGCTGCCAGGGAAATCAGCGACCGTTTACTCTCGTTGGGCTATTGGGCAGACTTTCTAAACCCATTCAGTGGCAGGCCATACTTTTTACCTAGAGACGCCTCAATATTGTACAAACAAGACTATCGCTTTCGTGGCCTTAATATGCGACTATCCAATCACAACGACTGCGTCCTCATTGCTGCCGAGGAGAACGATAGCGTTTACTTCTCGGGCACCATATTCTGCACAGCGCCCAATAACTACAGTCTGCTTGTGGAGCTGCTTGCGCCGGCAGAGTTTAAAATTCGATTCGAAGATGTGCCCCAATGACGCAGTGGAAAGCGACATATAAAAATATCCGTTTTGTAGTACAATTTCAGTTTAGCCGACAATGAATGGCCCGCCCCCATACAGCTCAGCTGAGGCCGGCCAGCGACAGATAAGCAACATAGGATGACAAGTCCATAGCCGTTCTCATTGGTGACGATGTCTTTAAATGTCAAGTTTTTGTTCCTTGTCACAAATAATTGTGTACAAACTATTTACACCCTCATAAGTTTGTAATACACACACGAATTCAAATACATATATGTACTTGCGTATATATGTATATGTATATGTATATATGAAATATATATGTATATGTATACATGTATAAGATACATATATATAACTATATACGAATGAGCTACTTATTTCTCTAAGTGATGGCCACTTGATTGCAGTGTCGTTCGATGTCCTTCAGCCGATTGACCAGCGACTGCAGCTCCTCGGCATTGCACACGAACTCCACGTCGGTGACCCGCTCACCGCTACTCTGGCGATAGTGACCCAAATTGATGTTGAAATGTGGCACACCGCTGCTGCGGTCCGACGTCGAGGACTTCACGTCGCACACGATGCGCCATTGCACGTCGGTGATGTGCGGGAAATTGTGGCCCAACTGCAATTGGCGCAGTACCAGATCCTTTCGATTGTCCTCATAGACCCGGGTTAGTTCATCCACGGCACTGGCATTCAGGTCCAGTGCTTCCAGTTGCTGCCGCAGCGTAATACTGCTCCAGCCGTGCTTGGTGGCGACAGAGTAGAGCGTGACTACAGCATATTCGCTCTGTTTGGCGCTGGCTGCGTTCGTTGCGTATATTTCGGGCACTGGTGCTATAACTGTTACCATACGAATTGTTTATGCGATATACATTTGGATTAAGCAATATTTAGCTGCATACTTGCATCTGGATGGAGCGTCAACTTCAGAGAGTTGGCAATTAGTGTTTTACTGATGACCGCTGATAATGTGGTACCCAAGTTCTTGAGACCGGCAATCACGGTCGCCGATAGCAATCCATTATTATCATCTGTGGGGTCATTTGATGGGCTTGAGCACTGTGCTTCGGTGGCCATTAACAATTTGTGAGCTGATGCATAGAGGCCAAACAAATATCAAACAGCTGTGAATATGCCATTCACAGCGAACTGCCGCTTGATGCACGTGTGTATGTAGGTGAAGGTTATTAAACGAGGCTACCACCAGGCATTGCTTGGAGATGCAGCACACTCTCTGAAAGTGTGACGTCACAGTGTGAAGTTAGCAAGCCGTTTGCTTAACCTTGTATTCGTGATGCGGGTCAATCAAAATATTTCACTCTGACCTTGTCAAACAATTTAAGCTTAATTTGACCTAATTATTATTTATATGCATATAATTTGTTGTTAATTCAATTATAATAAATATGAGCAAACACGGATTAAAATAAATTGTCATGTTTACTTTACTGAGATCAAGTCTATAGATGGCGCTATTTTTTATATTTAAATGTCAACGAAAAAGAGCGAGAAAGAGAGAGAGAGAGAGAGAGAGAGAGAGAGCGCGCAAGAACGAAAGAAGGACAATGAGAGGATGGGGGACATCGAATTGCGAGATTGAGTGCGAGAGAGAGAGAGATGGAGATAATGAGAAACAGAGAAAGAACATGATTTATGAGTAAAATATGAATATTGATTATAATATTTATTCGATCTTATAAATTGTTTTCAGTGTTAAATAAAATATATAACTTAATTAATAAATTCAATTCTTATATTTTGCTAATTTTCTTTACTTTATTGATATACGTTTTGAATTTTTTAGTTGACAAACATAATGATCGGAATATTCTATTACAGTAAATGAATATTATTATTTTGTTTAATTATTGACATTGGCTTAGCGCATGCGTGTAGAATGTCTTGTCCTTATCGTCGATTCCTCGCTTAATAACGTGCGGTATTTTCTTGGGCACCATGCTAGAAAGTGAAGGAATTTAGAAATCGGAAATCGAAGGTAATAAACAGAAGTCTTATCACTAAGTGCGTCCACTTACGTGATGCAGTCAATGATGGGACAGACGGAGACACAGAGGGTGCAGCCGGTGCAGTCGTCGTTGACATGCGGCAAGTGGGTGTCCTTATCGAATTCAATTGCCTGATAGCCGGAGTCGGCACACGTCATATAGCACTTGCCACAGTTGATGCACATGTCCTAATGCACAGGAATACACAAACATATATTATGAGGTTAACATGTAGATATATCGAAGCACTCACATCATTGATAAGGGCCACCTTCTGCTGCTTGTTGTCGAGGCTCTTGTAGGGGCCGATGCGTGGCAGGGCCGCACCAATGACGTCTGTTATCTTGGGCGCCGGCTTGATGACAGCGCCAGTGTTGGAGGTATCGACGGTCGTCCGTTCGGCATCCCACAGGGCGCCCTTCTCCTTGCGCAATTCGGCCAATTTGATGTCGCGCTGCTGCTGGTAGGGGCCAAAGAAGCCCAGCGTCTGGTTGCCACTGCCGGTCAGGTGGATCACCGGCTTGCCCTTCTGGTGCACTGGCGTTGGCGGCGACTGGCCGTCCCAGAAGGCGCCGTTAATTGGCGGCGGATTGGCCTTCAGGTAGAGCAGCGCCTTCAAGCTGGTGCAATAGTCTTCGATGAGCGTAAAGTCCTGATTCTGTACGGACGAGCAAACCTGCAGAACCGTAGCGCCCGCCTGGATAAACTGCAACGCCACCTCGCCGGAATCAATGCCGCCGATGCCCAGTATAACAAAGTCCTTTGGCAACGCCCTCGCTATCTCTGAAATGGCGCGCAGTGCCATGGGACGCGTGGCATTGCCGGAGACACCGCCGTACGTGGTGCGCTGCTCTTTGCCAATCGCCGGCCAGGCTGTTCCATCCGCCTTCAGGCTCATCAGACCCTGCACCGTATTGATGGCCGAGCCACCGTTGGCACCGCCGCGATGTGCTGCCTTGGCAATGGACACAATGTCCGTAATGTTTGGCGTCAGCTTGATGAAGAAGGGAATTTTGACGGCCTTGCGCACCCAGCGCGAGATATCCTCCACCAGTCTGGGCTCCTGGCCGCAGGCCAGCCCCATGCCGCTCTCACCCATACCATGCGGACAGGACAGATTCAGCTCGAGAGCATCGGCGCCCGATTGCTCGGCCCTGGTGGCCAGCTCCGTCCAATCCGCCTCATTGTAGCCGCACATGATGCTCGCTATGATGATCTTCTCGGGAAAATCGCGCTTCAGCTCGCCAATCGAGCGCAGCCAGTACTCGGCTCGCTTCTCCGAGATTAGCTCGATGTTGAGGAAGCAGCCCTGCTGCGGCCCGTACCTGTAGCCGGACGTGGTGCCGCGCACAATACGCGGCGACACATTTGTGACCATGTCTTTGTCCAGGCCAAATGTCTTCGTCACTACGAAGCCCCAGCCCTGTTCGAAACTGCGGCGTATCATCGCTGCGCTGGTGGTGGGCGGTGCCGAGGCCAGGCCGAAGGGATTCTCGAACTTCAGGCCGCACATCTCGACGGAAATGTCCACGCTGTCGATGTCCGTATAGAAGAGCGGCAGGGCGGCGGGTGTGTCCAGGGGCAGACCCTGCAGCTGGCAGTGGATGCTCCAGGCGGCGACTTTGCCATCGTTCACCGACTCCACGGTGGTATTGGCCACGCCGGCCAGATCACCGCCCAGGAAGACCTGCGGCACGCTGCTCTGCATGGTTTGGCGATCCACCACGGGCAAGCTACCACGGAATTCCAGCGGCGACAGCGCCTCTTTAACGTCCGCATCCTGCAGACCCGAACCGAAGGCAGAGATGACAAAGTTGGCCTTAAGGCGCACAGTCTGCTCCTCATCCTCTATCCATTCGTCCTGCTCGTTCTGCTCGGTACGGCAGAATTCCATGCCCGTGATCTGGCCGTCCTTCACAATGACCTTGCGCGGACTCAGATACGGCATCAGCTCACAGCGCTCCTCACGCGCCAAGTCCACCTCCTCGGGCACGGCCCGTATGCCGGTCGAGCCCTTCCGGAAGACAACGAACACACGACGCGCTCCACAGCGCAGCGCCGAGGTAGCGCAATCGAACGCCGTGTCGCCGGCACCGAGGACAATCACATTGCCGTAGAGCTTGGGCAGCGCCTGGGCCGATTTGCAGGCGCACAGACCTGGCTTCGAGCCGTCCGAGACCAAGGGCAAAAAGTTCTTGGACGTGAAGAAGCCCGACTGAGTGCTCAAACCCTTGAAAATCGGATCGATCTTTGGCTCTGGCAGTCCAATGCCCACGAAGACGGCATCGTGGCCGGAAGAGAGTAGGCCCTGAAATTTTATTTTATTTATTTAATGGATTTTGAGATACGGATGTTGTGTGAGATACGGATGTTGTATGTGGGAGAATTAAGTAATTTGCAGATATTCACTACGTGTTGGCATTGGAGTTGAAGCTGTTTTGTTGTGAAGGTGTCGCTATTGCGAAATGGGCAAATAGGAGCAGGTGTTTTGTTGAAAAAACAGCAGTTAATTTGAATGCAATTAGTTGAAATTAGGTAGAGTTTAGTCCAATTTAAGTTTTAATTATGAGTAGTTCACATGAACAGATGTTTCAAATTTGCATAAAGCTCAGATGGTAAAGACAATATCTACATACATGTACATATCTATTTAAAAATGTATTTATTTTTTTTTTTTCTAAGACAAAAAGGTAGAAGAAACTCACTGACAAAACTACAAAAACTACATGACTACTTTACTACTATTTTTTGGGTATATCTGTATAATTTTATACTAGTATTCTAATATACATGTATGTTGTATGTATAATATTTCCTGAATAATACAATAGCAAAAATAAACAGCCGTTAAAATTCATCCCGCCTCAGCAGCTCTAGCTCCTGTTGAATGTTCAGTGAAAGCTTTCGGATATTTGAAGCTGCGCTTTGCATGTGTGGAGCTTTTGGCTAGCAGCTTTTTAGTAGCAAAAGCTTAGCTCTCCAGGGAGAGCAATGCACGAGCAGTCACTCATACACATGCACAGCAAAAGGAAGCAAACTCACACACACACGTAGATATGTATAATATGTATATACAAAATGCAGCACTTGCGATTTATACGTGTGTGCTTGATGTGAATCAAGTACGTGAGACTCTCTCACACACACATCTGCAGATACACCGCGTCTGCTTCCTGCTTCGGGCAGTGTATTTGTTATTAATCGTGATTAGATTCTAGGAACTAAGCTTTTCGTAGTCCGTTTATCTATGAGCCATATATCAATATGTTGTCTAAGGCCTTTATGCAATGCTTGTAGTTAAGTAATTTAAACTATCGATACTTATACGAAGTATAATTAGACATGGAAAGATTAAGATATAGATATGTACACACATACTATGTTATTTTCGTCGAAATAACCGTAGGAACACTATAGGCAGAGTCGTATAACCGAATTCTACAGTATATGCATATGTGTGTACATACATGTATTCATGTAAGGATATTTGTATGTTTATATGCATTGATATCAAGCTGATGTATCTCCTAAAATAGCCAAGATCAGAATATATGTATGTATGTACATACTGTAGTGTATAGAAGTGTACCCATGAAATAGCTTTCATTTTATTCAAAATTAATATATGTAGAGCACTTAAGACATTGCTTATTCATTTCCCTGTATCTCTATACTACTCTTCATCCTAACTTAATCTTTATCATCTATCTACCAAGAGAATGGATAATAAATTTTCATGGAAGATCTTTTCATAACTTGTAAGATTTAGATTCTAAAAGCTGAATGTCTCTATGTGCTCTATCTTAAGAGGAAACTGTGAATTGTCTGCTACGATAGTATCTATGTATCTGTAGCTTGATGTATCTATGAAATACATATACATATATTTGTATATGTATATGCATAGCAACTGTAACTCACCTGAATGGTCAAGTCCTTGGTGCTAAGGGAACGCTGCATTTCGAACTTAACGCCCACATCCTTGACCAGATCAATCTCGAAATTGACCACATCGATGGGCAGACGGTACTGTGGTATCTCGGCAGCGCTGAGGCCGCCCAGATAGCTGCGACGTTCATAGATGGTGACGTCGTCGTAGCCCAATCGGGCCAGGAATGTGGCGCACGATAACGAGGCAGGTCCGCCGCCGATCAGAGCGATCTTCTTGTTCGGCTGTGGCAGCGGCTTCAGATTCGGCGCTCGGCGCTGGTGCACGCCCATCTGCTTGAACACCTCGGTGGCGAACTGCTGCAGGCCGCCAATGTTGATGGGGCCCGCCTCGGAGGCCTGCAGGTTGCAGCCGCCGACGCACAGATCGCTGGTGGGACAGACCATGCCGCAGGTCAGCCCCAGCGGATTGTCCGAGAAGATGGCCTTGGCGGCGCCATAGAAATTCTTGTTGGCAATGGACGTGATGAAGCTCTTGATGTCCAGCTGCGTGGGACAGGACTTCTGGCAGGGCGCATCGGCGCACTTGAGGCAGCGTGCTGCCTCCTCTAGGGCGCCACGCTCCGACAGGGTCGTGTGCTTGATATCCTCAAAGTTGTTGGCCAATGTGGTGCAGGGCACCGCCAGGTGGTCGGCATTGCGCTTCCAGTGCTTCTTGTTCTCCTTGGTCTGCTTAGTGGGCACCACGCTGCACTGCGTCTTGACGCGCGGATTCAGCGCCAACAGATCCTGCACACACACACACACAAGTCTCAAGAGTCTCAATAAGTGCCCCCAATACGGAAATTCTAGCGACCTACCTCAATGTCGGGCGTGTCTTTGCTTAGCAATGCCGGCGGACTCATCTTGATTGAAGATTGCCTGATTCGTTTCCTTCCTTTTCTCACTTAACTGTGCAATGCTTGGCTGCGAATATAGTTTCAGAGATACATATATGATATAGAGCTATGTATGTATGTACATACACACATACTTCTTGTTTGGTCTTGAAACTGAAACTGATCTAATCGCAACGCAGGGGTCTTATGCTTGATATGTCATATTCAAGCTCACACACACACATACGTCCAGTATATAGCAAATTATTATATATTATGTATGTGTATATATTGCTTGGGCCCTTCTTATCAAGCGGGCATGGTTCGATGCCGCACACTCGAAAGATTAGGTTAGTTAACAGCTTCGAGTCGCCGAACGGGTCGCTTGCCAACCAATTGTTGTATCTATGCGTATATATAGCTACAGCTACAGTTAGTGCGTGCTATTACAATCTACACAAGACCCATATATGTATAATGCTACAGATACCCAGCATAATATATATATATACATACATATGTGTGTTTCTATACTATATATATTGTTTTTAATCATATATGTTTTCTACGTATTACATTATCATCTTAGAAGGGAGGCAACACGTCATTGAAAAAAATGCGAGTTCAGGGTATAGATAATCTTTCTTAATTGACAAACAAAAAATTATAATAATTTCCTCATCTTTGAATGGTACAATTTAGTAAAATTAAATGCAAATCAATTATAAAGTAGTTAATGCATTATTTTTATCTTATATATAGTTTTGCAGATTTAGACAATGAGTATGTTCAGTTCCTTTCTCAGTAGTCTTTGCTGGTATTTTATATTTTCGCTGTAATACTTCAATACTACTTTCTTAACTTTCACGCGCCCAAGCACTTTAAATTCTCACCATTGATTGCTATTGATTAATAACTAGATATTTATAGTAGACATCATTGCCAATTGATAGCTACAAAGATCTATTACAAGACAAATTTCAATTACGAAAGTCTATGCAGAAACTACTCTGAGACGCCCTACCAAATAAGATCTGCATGAAAAAGCAAATATGGAACTAGTCCGGCGACAGGTTTAAGCTCCTAAAGCGCAAGCTTAAGGCACATTTGATAACCTTTATATAGTTTATATAGTTTTTTTTTTCTATATACTTTGTATATAAATAGAATTTCCTAAATCAAAACAATTTGTATATTTAAATTGAACTATTTGCGTGTTCATTATAGTGTCAGTTGACTGTATGGACACCACTAATATACTAAGACCTGTTCTGGGCGCACACGCCCCCCTACGTCGTCGTCGCGCCTAGTATGCGGAATCTTTTTATCAGCTGACATCTATTATTATTTGGAATTCCAGTTTAATTTTCGTCGTTTATAATTCTCCAATAGATTGCGCACACACAAAATTCACATATGCAAATGCGAAGAATATTCTAATATGCTCCATACACCGGTCGAAATGTAGCTCTAACTATTCTGGTTTATGTCGCATATTAATTGAGTTGGTTATTTCTTGATTTCTTTGGTTTTTGTTTAAGTTTTAATTTTTTGTTTTTTTGTTTTTCTTTTGTCTTTTGGGCGGTGTCATTCAATTGAATTAAATTAGAACAAACCTATTTCGCGCTGTTGAACAACTCGCTCCGCTGATAGCTTCTGTTGATTTTGATCCGCTGATTACAACACGGCGCTCGCTCATTCACTCACTCGTTGTGAATGAAAGACGAAAACAAAAAAAAAATTGTATTTGATTTGGGTTTGGCGCGAGTGGGAATAGAAAAAAAAAAACAGAAATCGGTCTTCACACTGGAAACGCACAATTCCAAATGGTTTTTTGCTTGTGAAAATATTTGCTTAAAAACAAACAGAACGCGGCGGTCAGCGGCGTCGACGTCGACGTCGCCGTCGACGTCGCCGTCGCCGTCAGTATTAGCGTTGACTTCGCCGCTGACCGAGCGAAGCCCATATTGCAGCTACATACACATACACTGGCATTGCACTCACATAAAGAAGCTTTAATAAAGCTTCCAGTGATGTGCGCTTCAGTAGGGTAAAAGCACACGCGAAATAGTTAAAGATTGTGAGCTATAAACTATACAAATATTAGTATATGCATATTCAACTGTACATTGATATGCGTGCATGCATGTATGTTTGTAGACATTATAAAATAATAGTAAATATAAGTTGAAGGTTAAGATTACAGATAAAATTCGTACGCTACAGTTATCTTTACTTAAAACCGCTAAATTTGCAGCACTAATTAAAGTAAAGATTAAGGCAGTCAGAATCTTCGCGCCGATTGTACAGGCCAGTCAATATATCGATACCGCGCGAAGAGAGAGAGAGAGAGAGAGAGAGAGAGTATTGAGAGAAGAGTTTACTATCCATCGAAATATTATATTTTGTTTGTTTTGTATTTTTTAGCAATTGTTTTATACATTATACCCACCAGTTCGACAAGATAATCATACATCATAATCAAGTTGTTCATAACTTCCATTCTTCCTCTCTCTTGCCTGCATTGTGATCGATCTCTGCTTAGTGTATTTCACTCAGCTAGAGCAGTGAATAGCGAATGCACCACGCACTCTAGCGGTCGTAGTGAAAAACTCGCACACGAATTACAGCTGGCTGCTATGAAACACTTGATTGCTCGAGGAACAAAGCAGCCTGCTACGTTACTTAAGCTTCAAAAAGTTACAGTTTAAAGGTTTTGCAAAGTCTACAAATGTTTTCATCTGGTTATTTGAATAATTTTCTATTATCGCGCCATCAGCAGAGTGGCCCTTCTTTTAATCAGTTTCTCAGAGACGATCGCAAAAATATAATGATGGGCATATATTTATAGTATAGTATATTATTTATAGTACATATCGATCGAATGCAGCTGTTGGTATCGCCATCTGGCGGTGTAATTGCACAATTTATGAGCACAATAATTTTGGCTCTTGCGGGTTTATTAAAAATACATAAATTACTTTGGAGGTCGGGGTGAATGCTGAGATTTTGGCCATGGGTGGCGGTAATTCGAACCATAAAATGCATGCTTGAATATTGTACAAAACAGACGATAATAAATTGCAACGAAATTGTTAAGAAAAATAAGCAATATCCCCCACTTGCCTAATGACTATTTCATCAATTTCGCCTGCCAACCAAAATTTCATATTGATGGCGAAAAGTCAGACGTAAAAATGAATGAGACCGATCAATGGCCATCAAATGGATGGAGACTGACAGCCCTAGCAAATGTTAATGTCTCAGCTAATATAGGCATTATGTGTCCATTGACAGTGAGTAAATTTATCTTCAGTTCATATCGTCTGTCATTCGTTATCAAAGCTGACAACGAAATTGGCTTCGTCTTCTGAGTACCCCTAAAAAATTAGCCTTGACGGCTGAACTGAATCCTTGCTGACAATTGGCGATAAGCCACTCATCTATCTGTTAACGAATAAGAGGAAGAATCAGAATCACTTATATCTAGTGAAATTGGGCAAGATTTTCAACAAGAAATTAAATAAATTGTCACTTAAAATTATGTTCAAATGAGTATTTTAGTATATGTATAGATAGATATCTGTCATATATATGTATATGATGAATATCTTTTAGTACATTTGCTTCAGCCTCACATCTGAAGATCGTGTTAGCTAATGCTAAAAGCAATTTGTGATTAGGCAGAATGTGCGACAAGTGATGCCAGTGGGCGGGGGAGGGAGTCGGTTAGATACTCGTACTACTTTTAGATATTCTAGATATATAGATATGTATATGTATATATGTATATATAGCTGTATATACTGATGGCCACTCGTGAGCTGCCTGCTTCATTAATCTATATGTGGCGTAATTTATTGATATTTTTATTACAGTTTTATTTACGATTTTGCAGCTCTCAAAATTTGCTCAGCTTCGACAATTTGTTGTTGGTTTTGCTATAGCAAATATTTATGACAGTTTATTGTTTTTTTCCTTTCTTTTCATATCTATTTTTTATGTGATTAGACAGACATAGTAGATATACATATATACATTTACTATATACACTATGCATATAAGTATTATAGTACCTCAAATGACTATAGAATTTTGCTACTTTCATTGTTTGATTTAATGTTTCTAACGGGTTTACTAGGACTTGGTATTGAATTCGACTGGATTTATTTTTAGGCCTTGCAAATAGAATATTTTAAATATTCTAAATATTTCAACTATATGCATATTTTAGGCTCAGAATTGATATTTCCTCAGTCAGATAGCAACAAGCAAGACACATGGACGATAGGTTAAGAAATCGGACGCTGGCAGAAAGTGGGACGGACGTACTTAAGAACAGGCAGACGCACAGCAAGTGAGAAATACGCTTAGATCGACTAGTCTATTGATTCTGATCAAGTCTATATATATACTATATAGTTCAGAATATCCATTCAATCAGATTTTCTGATTTGTCACACCCCCAACGGCTAATAAATATGTTAATTAATAAAATATATTAGCAGTAACGCCCCCAACGAATGGACGTAGATGTCTTCTTGAACTTGTTCTGTCAATGCGGGTGTATATTCCATACTTGAACTTTGTAGCACTTTTACTACCATGATTGCTGACATATTAAACAAAATTATTGCTGACAAAATGATCCTTTCCTTTCTTAAAAATAGAGTTTGGATTAAGAACATCTTGAGAGTTTAGCATTCGAGACATGAGTTTTTTGAACATATATTTCATGTTCCTAGCTTTAATAGAGGCGAAATGGCTTGCACTTACATGGAAAGAAGGACGGATAGACGGACAGACGAACAATATATACAATATAATAATATACATAATAATATGTAACAATATAATATTCAAAACGATATACACTATATTATGATATATGTATACCACAATGCCAATACACTCAATTCACTTTTATGAATGATATTCGAAAATTGCAAATGTAATTATAGCAAATATTATATAAATATTTAATGATATGCATTATTTGCTGCTTTAGTAGAGTATTAAATCGTATCCGTTGGCTTTATGCCTGGCCATGAATTTGTACGAATTTAAGCCAATTTTTATTTGGCAAATTTCTTTTTAATGAGCAATTTAGTCGCAGTCAGATTTATTTAAGAAGGCGAAACAAACATTTATTACAAGCATCTAGAATGTAAGTAGCGAGAGAATGTAAGTGTATATACATACATACATATATATATATATATAGTATAAGTGTGTGTGTACAGCGCCGAGGTATAAAAATATATAAAGGAGGCCGCAAGCGTCGCGTCGCGTCGCATTTGCCGTAACCAAAATAGATGCGGCCCCCAAAACTTTAACGGCCTCTGCAACTTTTTATGGCAAATAAAACAAATGTTAACAAATCTTCAACTGTAAAAAAAAAAAATAGAGAAAGCAACTGAATTGGGAATGTGATTTATGCAAAAGCCAGCGAAATTCACTGCAGTCCAGTCCATAACAAAAGCCAACTGCATAAAGTCCGCTCATAGGCAAAGCGAAATAATGTTTACGCCTGCCTGATTTATTTTCTGTAAAAGTTGTAAATGTTTAACTATATTTGGCAAATAATTTTATGGCAAATATATTCTGCTCAAAAATAACAAAGAAACTCAGTCAGAGTGTCTGAACAGGGTGTGCCTGACTGGGAGATACCCTGCATGCTGCAAAGAATGACTGTGTATCCGAGAGAGAAAATCCGAAAATGATAATATTAATCATTTTTATTTAATACATGGAACTAAAATATGCTGAAATCTTTAGCTATTTAGGTATGCAAGTTCTACTTTAAGGACTGGATTTAATTTTCTATTTTGATCAATAGGGATTATCGTTTGTTTGTTATGCATTAATATACAATGTATATATCTCGGATCTCCAAATTTCCATTTATACAGAAATTCAAATTATCGAGAACCATTTTTTTAAGGGTATAGATATTGTTCGATTTATAGCGATTTTTTATTTATCTTGATTTTCGATTTATCGCGTTTTTCGATTCATCGGGGCACAAATTATCGAGACACGACTGTAAATATATTACGTTTTCGACCCGTTACATACATTTTCCCAAAAGCATCATACCCCAATCTCCCATTTTCAATTTGTTGAGGCTATAAAAAAAATACTGAAACAAATGTTTTGGCACAAAAAAAAAAGAAAAGAAAAGAAAAGAATAATATAATAAAAAACATTTGCTGACATTGGGATTAGAAAGCGTTTTGATAAATCGATGCTAAAGCCTCGGAAAATGTGCTTTTGGCATTTAACCGATGCGTCATTTATTTCGGGATCGTTTCGGACCTCTGATCTTAAGAGCAAAAGAACATGAAAGAAAAAAAAAGTGGTTCCATTGTAAGTACATATATGCATATACATATATATATATATTTTAAATGATTATAAATAAATAAATACAAATACATTTATGCTCGATGCGATACGATACGATACGATATAATATATATGATAAAAAAAACACATATATATATATATATATAGAGTATTATATATATAGAATAGACGATAAACGAACGTCAACGCAATGGGTTCCCTCTCCTCCTCCCTAGGTCTGCTCGGCAGCAGGAGTTGCCGCTGCGCCGTCTCCTGCGCCGCCAACGGCTTGATCGGCCACGGCTAGCGTCGCGAGCAGCTTGTCCGCCTCGGCCGCCTTCTGCTCCAGCTCGTCCAGCTGGCGCTGCTTTTCGGCCAGCTCCTTCTGCTTCTTGGCGCGTCGCTCCTCCTCCTTGTGCAGCTGCTGCTCCAGC